TTAACCAAATTATGACTGTACTTATAACCCACTGATAAACCCCTTAAGTGCCCTAATGTGCTGATAAGCGCACTTCGTGCGCAGTCTTTCCGGGGTTTTCAGAGGCGAGCCCTAAAATCTTTGGCCCAAGAATCCGAAGCCCCAAGCCCTAAACCTTAAACCTTAGAAACCCTCAGCCCGACAACCCCCCAGCACCCTAAACCCTGTGCGTTACAACCCTCCTTAGCCCAACAGGAGGCCCCGAATTCGCGGGCCCCCAAGAGCTAAACCCTTCAACTCTCAACCCTCAGTGTTTAGGTTTGGTTGAAGGCAGCTTCTGGTCACGGATGGGTTTAGGGTTTAGGGTTTAGGGTGTTAGGGTTTAGGGTTTAGGGTGTTAGGGTTTAGGGTTTAGGGCTTAAGTTCGGCTTCCATTCAGTACCCTAAACCCTAAACCCTAAACCCGAAACCCTAAACCCTAAACCCTAAACCCTAAACCCTAAACCCTGACTTAGGCATGACGGAGAAGAGAGCCCCACTTCCCCATCATCCAGAGGCCCCCTCGAAACCCTTGGCTCTGAACCGGAGCCATGGCAGTTGAGAGTCTTCCACGGGGTCTCAAAAAGAGCAGCTACGATACGCCACCCCTTAGAATCCCGAAACCCTAAGCCCTAAGCCGTAAACCCTAACCCTAAGCCCTAAGCCCTAAGCCCTAAACCCTAAACCCTAAACCCTAAACCCTCAACCCTAAACCCTAAACCCCAAACCCTCGAAATCCCAAAAGAACGTGTTCCAACAGGTTCCCGCTGTCTGGGTTGCCGCGGACGTCGCCGCCTTTCAGTGGTGCCAGCCTGAGGGTGTCTTTAGGGCTTAAGGCGTAAACCCTAAACCCTAAACCCTAAACCCTAAACCCGCGGGTTTTCGGTTTCCGAATCCGCTGCTGACCCTACTTACCTATCTAAGTCAAAAGGACTTCCAAGTAGAGGGACCTAAACCCTAAACCCTAAACCCTAAAACCTAAACCCTAAACCCTAGAACCCAAACCCCAAACCCCAAACCCCAAACCCCAAACCCCAAACCCCAAACCCTAAACCCCAAACCCCAAATCCTAAACCCTAAACCCTAAATCCTAAACCCTAAACCCTAAACCCCAAAACCCCAAAACCCTAAACCCTAAACCTTAAACCCTAAACCCTACACCGCAGGCTTCGGCTGGGCAGCTTTCAGCCAGAGGTTGCGCGGGTCGTCGGGCGTATCCTGGCGTGGATGTTGGGAGTACAGCCATGCCCCTCGGCCTAGAAGACCCTGCTTTTGGCTGTTTAGGGTTTAGGGTTTTAGGGTTGAGGGTTTAGTGTTTCGGGTTTTAGGGCTTAGGTTTCAGCAGCTCATGTACTAGCTTTCACTAGTCGAGCAAACCCACCCAGACGATCCGATAACATGGACCCTGGGACCCTGAACCGCTTCGTTTGAAAGCTCTATGAACACTGACTCTTGAAACCATGAAACCCTCAAACCCTGAAACCCAAGAATGGGAGGGGGGGGGTTGGGGGGGTTAGTGGGGGGTTTGGGGGGGTTGCGGGGGGTTTTGGGGGTTGGGGGGTGGTGGGGGTGGGGGGTGCCCACTAAGGTTTGTGCCTGGCGACCAAAGTTTGTGCCCATGCCCACTAAGTCATAAGGGTTTATATTTGTAGATATATAGCAAGAGAGGTTTAGAGTTTAGGGTTTAGGGAAAGTTGCAGTGATGCGCTGTGCATTTGCGGACGCAGGTTAAGCCCGAAACCCTGAACCCCAAACTCTAAAGCATCTAGAGTCTGGAACCATGGGCCCCTAGTATGGTCCCTTTCCCTTGTTCAAAGACAATTTAAAGGGATCCGAGTATGGGCCCTTATTGTGCATAGTGTAACAGGGGGACCCAAATGAAGGGCGCATACTTTGGTTCCCCCAGAAGCAACCCTGAACTAAACCCGAGGCCTTCTCTTCTTCTCTCTGCGGGCTGCGCGCGTCTTTCGGAGGACACTCTTGTGGGCCAGTGATGGTAGAAACCCTAAACCCTAAACCCTCAACCCTCAACCCTCAACCCTAAACCCTAAACCCTAATCCCTAATCCCTAAACCCCCAACCCTATACCCGAAGCCCCGACGAATCCGAAGACCGCTGCAGGCGGCGACGGTACGAGGCTGTGGTAAATTTACTGATTCTCTGCGGCCCCCTCACAGCTCCTTGGTGCCGCGTGGGATTAGGCCCTACTTGGAGGTTCATGGTACTTGTTAACCAGTTATAACTGTACTTTCTGTACTTCTAACCATCTTAGGGCACTTAAGGGGCTTATAAGTGGGTTATCAGTACAGTTGTAGTTGGCTAAGAAGTGCCATGAACCTCCAAGTAGGGTGTGAATGAGAAGGGCTTACGGTTTAGGGCGGCTTCGGGGTTTAGGTGATTTGAGCCTTAAAGCGTTCGGGGTGTTTAGGGTTTAGGGCCAGAGCTTTGGGGACTGAGGGTTTGGGGTTTGGTGGTTTAGGGTCTAGGGTTTAGGGTTTAATTAGGGTTTAGGGTTTGGCTCCGTGCGGTCTTAGGCTTTCGTGGCAGCCAACCAGATGGAGAAGTTCTACCTCGGCCTGGTGAACCGGCTTCCGGAGGATCTCCATTGCAGGGTTCCGGGCTAGGATGGAGCCCCTGGTTTATGTAGGGGTTTAGGGTTTAGGGTTTGGGGTTTGGGGTTTAGGGTTTAGGGAGGCTTGAAGGGTTCAGGAATTCTTGTTTGGCGTTGAGGCGTTTAGGGCTCAGGGTTTAGGACTTTAGGGTTTAGGCTTTCGCTTGGGGTTTTAGGGTTTGAGGATGTTGATACCATACTCCCCCTTGGAGGGAGTACATCGGGAGCCGACCTCCCTGGTTTTTCCTTCCAAGAACGCGGAAGTATACTTTAGATGCCCTGGCCCTAAACCCTAAACCCTCAACCCTAAGCCCCAAACCCTGAACCCCTAAAACCCGAAACCCTAAGCCCTGAACCCCTAAACTCCTAAGCCCGAAACCCTGAACCCCTAAACCCTAAAACCCGAAACCCTGAACCCCCTAATCTCCTAAACTCCTAAACCCTAAACTCCTAAACCCTCAACCCTAAACCCCAAACCCTAAACCCTCGCTCCACCTCCCAACATTCGCCCACACATTCGCGAAGGCAAGTGGATCCAGGGCGATGGAAGAAGGGTTTAGGCTTTAGGCTTTAGGGTTTAGGGTTTTTGGGGCTTAGACTGCACCACATGTGGAAGTTGCGTATTTGAAGACTGGCAGGCGGAGCAGAATCGGCGCGTTTCCGCCCCCGAGGCCCCTAAACCCTAAACCCTAAACCCTAAACCCTAAACCCTAAACCCTAAACCTTAAACCCTGAACCCTGAACCCTAAACCCTAAACCCTAAGCCTTCAGCCCTAAGCCCTCAGCCCTAAACCCTAAACCCTAAGCCCTAAGCCCTACATGGCTGGGTCTGAGATAGGAACCACGGGCCCTTAGCATGGTCCACTACCTTGAGGTTCATGGTTCTTATTAACCAATTGTAACTGTACTTAGAACCCACTTGCAAGCCCCTTAAGTGCCCTAATATGGTTACAAGTACAGTTCTGAGTACAGTTACAATTGGTTAATACGTACCATGAACCTCCCCAAGTACCCTTGTTTGTAGGACCCCTATTTTGTAGTGTATGTAAGGGTTTATTTTTCAAGGGACCCAAATTAAGGGCCCATACCAGGAATTGGGTTCAGACATGAAGGTGGGCTCCGCTTCATCAGTTCCCTGATTGTCCCTAAAATAATTAGACTACAATATCCCCTCAAAACCCGATTCGAGGTATCAAGGCTCCTACGTGAGATGGAATCTGGGGTTGAGGGTTGAGCTGGAACAGGGGTTATGTAGGAGATGTAAAATTCTTGGCGGATTTTTTTTTGTTTTTTTGTTTTTTGTTTTAAAACAACCCGAAGAGGAGCATCGGCTTCCGTACTATGCAACGATCCTGCTTGGCTTGACGTGGTTGCCCGTCGCTGCCCTTCTCTACAGGCATGGTTGAGAGACCGGGTTCCCGTTCGGGAGAAAAGAGCACAGCAACCCGAAAAAAATTGCAGATAGGGCAGTTCATAAGGTTTCGGGCTACTTTCTGCTTATGCTCCAACACCAACCTAGTAAGGGGCTTTGTGGATCGGAGGCTTGAGAGTCGAGATCTTGAAGTTGGGGGTTTCTGCCGTGTCGGGTGAGGGGAGGGGTAGCTATGACCCAGAGTATGCCCTTATTGTCTCCTTCTTTCTTTAGGGTTCCCTTTTTTGCCCCTTTAAACTCCAGAAAGGGGTACCCTTTTGCAGCCACTCCTCATCTTGAGAAGCTGGCGCCTCACCTACCCACAGGTACATTGGCGTGCACCCGCGCAAAGCGCAGCCGGTCGACGTCCCTCGGTGGCCGGGTGGTGCCCTTTTACCCTTTTTGGGTTCTGCATTGTCGAGTAAACGTCACCAACCCCTAAACCCTAAATTTAAGAGCCTCCGGCTCAAGCCGCCGACCCCGCTGGAGCATAGTTGAGAGGTCTATCCCAGCCTGCTCGGCCGGGGGGGGGGTGGGTGCCGAAAACGCTCGCGCCCCTACCCCCCTGTGCTGAACCGCCTGTTTACGCTGTGCGGGTGGCGCGGTCCTCCACGAAAAAATTGTGCACCGACCCCCCCCACCCCCCCCCCGCGTTTTGGGATGATGAGGTTTTCACCTCCTTTTCCCATCCAACACGCCGCCAGGTCGGCGGACCCTAAACCCTAAACCCTAGACACAAAACCCTAGACCATAAACCCGAAACCCTAAACCCTAAACCCTAAACCCCTAGAAAAACTCCCCTTGTCATAACATGGGTACGGGGCTATCAAGGACGAGATCTCTCTCGACGGCCACATGTTGCCCCGGCCTCCGGCAGCAACAGTCGGCGCGGCTTTGGAGGGGCACACCTTGGAAGGGCACACGAGCCCAGTTGAAAGCAAAACAATCTTATCTCTTTGATTTTTGTAGCTTGGTAGCCCGGTGGTACCTTGTGTGCTTTTTGTTGATTCAAGGTTCCCCTGGGCTACCAAGGTAGTCACTCTAGTCCAAGAGCCTTCTCGCGGTGGTTCCCTAGAAAGCAAGCAATGCTTCATGCCCAGACAAGAGCTTTACATTCCAAGGTTACGAAGGCTATTTCGAGTGAGTGTTGTTAGTGAGTGTGTAGCTATGGAGTGTCGTTTTGGGAATCCTAGAAACAAACGCCGTACTGCACATAACCCGTACACAGCCTTTTATGTTTTGCAATTGCTGGGGAACCAGCGGGGGAAGGCAGTTTAGAAGGATGTCCTTCATGCTCGGAGGCCCCATCTTTTCCAGGCCCTTTATTGAAGCTGCAGGAGCCTGACCAATTTTTCCGTATCTATCATCCCGGTTGTAGTCGCTTTTGGTGCAAGCAAACCAGGAACCCCTAAACCCTAAACCCTAAACCCTAAACCCTAAACTTCAAACCCCAAACCCCAAACCTCAAACCCTAAACCCTAAACCCTAAACCCCAAACCCCAAAACTTGGCGCTAGCAGTTCGATGGGCCATGGGCTGGATGTCAAATCGAATTGTCAGGCAACCCTGTTCCAATTCCGGCCGAAGCGCAACGCCCTAAAACCCTAACACCCTAAATCCCTAAATCCCCAAAACCCCAAAACCCGAAAACCCGAAATTATTTTACTTTGAACATCCCCACCCTCCCTTGGCAGAGATGGCACTCCAGGGACACTCTGGGCACTCCGGGGACACTCTGGGGTGGGTTGGGCACCCCAGGAGACCTTGGGGCTGCACTCCGGGGACATTCTGGTGTTGGGCACTCCAGAGACTCTGGGGTTGGGCACTCCAGGGGTTGGGCACTCCAACACTTTAGGGTTGGGCACTCCAGGGATGAGGAGTAGACCGGGCGAGGAGAAGAGTTCCGGGTGTGGGGGGTGGGGAAGAAACCCTAAAACCCTAAAGCCTTAAAACCCTAAAACCCCAAAACCCTAAAACCTCTCAAACCCTAAACCCTTAAGCCCCAAACCCTGAAACCCTACAACCCTAAAATCCCTGAAGCCGCTCAAGCCCCTCAAACCCTTAAGTTATAAGGAGCTACTCGCCAAAACAGTGGGCAACCCTTGGGGGGTGGCCCAGCTCTGGGGATCAGCAGGATTAAGGGCTCTCGCTTAGGACGCCCGTTTGGGCAATTTTGGGTTGAGGGTTCAGGGGTTTAGGGGTTTAGGGTTTAGGGTTTAGGGTTTTAGGGTTTAAGGGTTTAGGGGTTTGAGGGTGTAGGCTTGCAAGGCTGGATTTCAGCTCGTCAACATTGCAACGCGCGCATGTTCCCTTATGAAGTACAAGGAGTTCTGCTGTGGCTCTGGGGCCTCGTAAGAAGTACGTTTGTGCCATTTGCCGTCGCCGTGGTCTTAGTGCTCTTTGGGGTGTCTGTGCCGGCAAACAAAGAGGGCCTCCTGCCTAACAGGGCAGGGCCACAGGGCAGGGCAGTGGGGCAGGGCAACAGGGAAGGGCAACAGGGCAGGGAAGGGAAGGGAAGGGAAAGGAAGGGAAGACAAGGGATGGGGGAAGGAGAATGGACGAACCCACGGAACGAAGGACGCAAGGAAGGGATTAAGTCACACACCCGAGGGAACAGAACAGCGTGGAAGCCCTCAGCAAGTGTTGACAGTGACGTCGACAGCCTGGTGGCAGAGGAAGCGCTTTTTTTTTTTACGTTGGCAGCGAACAGGACAAGTGTATACGAGAAGCATATGACATTGATTGGACCTGCTCGGTGTTCCGTTCGTCCGAATAAAGAGTCTTCGCTTTTGTCAAGCAAGTCATAAAACTCGGGTTTTCAAAGCAGGCTGGCGGAACCGCCACAAGCGCAAATGAATCTCGCCGGCAGCCTCACCTCTACACAAAACTGTTGCAGTCGGGCCTGGGTTTTCAGACCCGCGCCGCTCTCTAGACCCAAAGCGTACTCGAACTCTGAACACGAAACACGAAATACAAATTCGACGCCCAAACCAGGAACCCTAAACCCTAAACCCTAAACCCTACACCCTAAACCCTAACCTAAACCCTAAGCCCTAAACCCTAAACCCTAAACCCTAAACCCTAAACCCTAAACCCTAGACCCTAAACCCTAAACTTAAACCCTAAACCCTAAACCCTGAACCCCAAACCCTAAACCCTAAACCCGGCGCCGGCGGTGACCTGAGGAACATTGTTGCTTCGTGACATGATGAACTCAGGGAGCCCAACACCCTTCGGGCCAATGGGCACCAGCTAGCAAGCCGCTGCAAAGGTTTAGGGTTTAGGGTGCAGGGTTTAGGGTTTGGGGCTTGGGGTTTAGGGTTTTGGGGTTTAGGGTTTAGGGTTTGGGGTTTAGGGTTTGGGGTTTAGGATTAAACCAAAAGCGCGCGGGCCGCTTGGTGCAGCGCCACACACAGCGTGACTTGAGGAGGTAGGGTTTAGGGTTTAGGGTTTACTGTAGGGTTTAGGGTTTAGGGTATAGGGCATAGGGTTTGGGGTTTAGGGTTTATTAGGGTTCCTTACGGTTTAGGGTTTAAGGTTTCGGATTCAGGAGGTACTTGGAGGTTCATGGGTAGTTGTTAGTGGGGTTAACTTCAGTTACATGTCAGGGTTTAGGGTTTTACGGTTTCGAGGGTCAAGGGACGGAAGGAGGGACCCTGCAAGGGACCTTAGGGGTTATTAAGGGGGGGGCCCGGGCTCGATCCATGGGATAGTGGGCTTCCTGCCAACACTTTTTAGCAACGCATCGCCTCGGCGCCCCACCTGCGCCGGACCAAAGGGGCCGGTTCGCCCACTTCCTCCGCTTGGAAGCTCTTTTGACTTGTGGTCAGTGTGCGTTGTGTTGTTCCCCCCTGTACGAACAGTCTTTAATTATAGGGATTATAGTGCCCCTTATTATAATCCCTATTCAGGACTGTCGGAATAAGGGGGAAGATCCCAAAGTGTACTTCGTAATGCCGAGAAGCCCGAATATACTCCCCATAGGCCACCTTTCTAATCTACTCCTTTCTAATTTACCTTCTACGTCAAATAGACTTCCAGGTGAAGAGTGGGCCATTGAGCATTCGAGCAATGCTTGCCGATCAATTTTTCAAGACAAATCGCAAATATTTTCTGGGGAATGAAGGACTAGGCGCCGTGTAAAACCCTATCGCAGAATCCTTGGAGGGGTTGGACAGAGTTTCTACCTGAAGAGCCCCAAGTCTATTTTTTGGTAGGTTACTACTGCAAAACCCCCCAAGGATTCTCAGGTCGCCTACAGACAAACAAGTAGGCTTTGAAATTCCCTACGAGCCCGTGTTGCTTTGAGAGCTCCTGCGCAACTCTGTCAAGCAGGCTGCAAGCAGCTCGGTGAGTCCCAACGAAGATGAGGGTTGAGAGTTTAAGGTTTAGGGTTTCTAGGGTTCAGGGGTTTAAGGCTTCGAGCTTAGGGCTTGGGAGGAAATCCCACAAAGTGTTGGAGAATGAATACTGGGCCCCCAGGGTTTAGGAGCTAGGGTCTAAGACGGTTAGCAGGGCTGGTTCGGGACTCCCATCCTTGGAGCACATTTCAGAGCTCGCATTGGAGGCGGCTTCTTGGAGGTTCATGGTACTTCTTAACCCACTTAGCAGCCCCCTAAGTGCCCCTAGTATGGTTACAAGTACAGTTCTGAGTCCAGTGATAGTTGGTTGATAAGTACCATGAGCCCCCAAGTTCTTGACTGGAAACGAACTAGGGGCTTGAAGAATCCTGCTTAGTTTCTCCGGGGCCGTAAAGGTAGCACCCAAGGATGTACAACACCCGAAACTCCAAACCCCAAACCCCAAACCAAAATCCTAAACCCTAATCCCTAAACCCTAAACCCTACACCCCAAGTGCATCCATAAAATCCCTGCTTTGGGGGAAGTACGTGCATACGCCGAGCATGCGAAACCCCAAGAACCCCAAAGCTTTCACAAGGCGTGGGGGTAGGGTATAACTTTTAGGGCAGAGGAGTGTTCGGGCCGGCCAGAATCCTATCTCATTAGTTGATTGGTAGCCCAGTGGTGCCCTTTACCCTCTTTTGGGTTCTGGGCTCCCTTATACAGTAACCAACCAAAAAAGGGTGCCCCTTATCTTCATACGGTTTCTGGGCTACTAAGGTTGCAGCTAGCTTGAGCGAGCCCCAAGCCTTTGCGTGGCATTCAGGGAGTTTAGGGAGGGTTAAACGGCCCATACCGTAGAACAGCCCAACGCGCCCCCGCCCGCACAAGATCAAAGCACCCAATAGCGCAACAAGAAGGAAAAAGCGGAGCAACCGCAACGCCCAAAGCATGCCAAACAAGCCACACAACGCTACCCGCAAGAGTTTCTGAGGTGGATGATGGAGTTTTTGTAAGGAACAAATAGGGAACCCTACGAATGTCGGGTGCGTGTCGGTAAAACCTACCCCCAGAACCCCAAGCTCTAAGCCCCAAGGCCTAAGCCCTAAGCCCTTTGCCCTTTGCCCTAAGCCCTAAGCCCTAAGCCCCAAGCCCCAAGCCCCAAGCCCTAAACAAACCCTACACCCTAAACCCTAAACCCTTGTAAACCCTTGTAAACCCTTGTAAACCCTTGTAAACCCTTGTAAACCCTTGTAACCCTAGACACTAGACCCTAAACCCTAAGCCCTAACCCCGAGAATTGACCTCCAGTGCGGCTGCTCCCTACCACGCTGCCAAGTCGGAGTTTGGCCGTCGGAGGTTGGCGTTGCTCGACCCTAAACCCTAAACCCTAGCCCTAAACAATAGCCCTAAGCCCTAGACCTTAACCCTAAGCCCTAAACCCAAACCCCAAACCCTAAACCCTGAACCCTGAACTCCAAACCCTAAACCTTAAGCCCAACAGAACAGCTGAGAGTCGATTGCTGGGCAGAAATGGCCGAGATTGAGGGAGGATGCGTGGTACGTGCACACCAGAATTTTCCGCCACGTTGAATCCTCATGCATGTCTTCAATGAAAAG